CCCCAAAACCCCAAAACCCCAAAACCCCAAAACCCCAAAACCCCAAAACCCCATCTACCCTCCATATGGTTGATAGTAAGCAAATTAAAAACAAAAGCACAAAATAAACTAAATATGAGGCTAAGGCCTTCTTCCTTCTCTGTTTAGAAACAATTCTCAAAAGAGTTGTGAGCAATGTTGTCTAAGTATTCTTCAAAATGAAGATAGGGTCTGCTCTGATGCAAGAATCTTGTCTGGGATGAGAAAGGAAAACAATCCTCTTTATGATGGTCTGCATCTAATTCAAATTTGAAAGGTGGATCCATCATCTGAGATGGCTCAATCAGAGGTGTTCTGACTTTTTCGAAAATATCAATTTCTGATTTTTCTTTTATCAGATTCTTATTTAAAATATTCGAAATCTGGTTCAAAGGAGGAGGAGTCTCTAGGCTCTGCTCGTTTTCATCAGCCAGCCTGACAGCCTCTCCTTGATCTACACATACGAGGAAGGGTTTGGAGTAATTATGACTCTCTCCTAAAAATGATGTTATTTAAATTCTTCAGATCGGAAAAGAAAAGGTCTCCCTTAAAAATTATAATCAAACGTAACAATAAGTGGAAAGTTGTTCTTACCATTTTTCTCAGAGCTCAAGATTTGTCCTATGGTCGGCTGAAGCTTTGTAATGCAGCCATAGCCGCCATTTCCTTGAGGCTGGCCACAATAGATCTGATTAGGACTGCTATTAGTCTCTTCGATATGTGATTTTTCTATAACAAATCTTTTTCTGGATGTCTCTTGGACGCAATCATCTAATTTGAAAGATAATTAGATTTAGATCTCACAAACTTAAAATTTCGATGAGTAATTGCAGTTCCTAAAAATATCTACCACATTGAGAATTTTGATTACGAAAGCGAATATTTGTTGCGAAAATTCAGAAGAGGCCAATAAAATAATAATTTTCGATATTTTTAGAAAAGATGGTAAAGTTCCGGGAAACTAGAAGCTATTTTTGATTCTTTTTGTTAATTAACTTTCTAACGAGGAATCGATAACATAATAAATAAAGTATCATACCATTTGCAGCATCTGATAGACTCTCGTTGCTGAAGAACTGAGATGCATTGGACTCTGTTGTCTTGATATCTTGAACAATATCAACATCAAAGTTTTCAGGAATCCTGCTGTTATGCTTAACAGCTTTTTCTTCTTGCTGACCAAAATCTATCGAGTTAAGTTCTTTCTCGAAAATTTCCATATCTTTTAGAAATCTCTGCTTATCGATTAGAGCCTTCGATTCAAATTCTCTTTTAGCATTAGTATCAAGACTCTTCCAGAGTTTTCCAACCTCTTTCATGATTTGTAGGGAATGCAATTCAGGGTATTGTTTTCACACCTTCGCACGTGTTTCTTTCACAAATATCATATAAGAAGAGAGAGCTTTCTTAGGTCTTTTATTCTCCCATTGCCTGATTCTTTGAATGCTCCCACACTTCTTGGCAAACTCTTTGAATTCTCTCTCATACCTTACTTTGTCTATAACAAAATCAGATCTCTTTCAGAAGAAAGTCACGTGACAAAATCTTGAAGAAAGAAAAGATTTAATGTATATAAATCAAAGTTGGAGAAGTCAAATATGAATGCATGATGATTATTGTTTCTAATTCACCACTTCTGGCAATAAGCCATGCTGCATTAATTATGTTGTTGATACATGAAGAACAGGTACTTACCATCTCTTGCTTTCTGCATGTATGACTCCTTCTGCTCTTCTGTAAACCCTGACCATTCCTTTCCAAACTCCTTCATAAGAACAGGAGCAATTTTATTCTCTTTCTTTCCAGCTGCGAATTGGGTCTTTTTCTATAAAAATGGTAAGGATCTGAACTATCTTTAAAAGTGTCTACCTCTTTGATGAAGAATGCGTAGCCTGTTATATTAAATTGAAGGGACTAAATTTAGAGATACTAAATACCCTTTATGTTCTTCTTTGGTTTGAATAAATAAGCTTTGGGATCTGTAAGGTCTATCTCATATCCAGAATCATTCTTCTTTTCTCCTTTTTCTTTTTTATTAGACTTCTTCTTAGTGTTCTTTTTGGACTGGGTTGGTTGTTTCTTACAGGATCCACTAAAGGAAATGAATTGAGACAATAAAATCAGGCCAATCAATAATAACTCAGTCATAGTAAAATCAAGAAGCCTGTACCACCATCTATCCTTTTTAGACATAAAATAAATTTTTAGAATATCCAAAAATGATTGGCTTATCCCATTCACCCATACCAAAGACCCACAGCAGATCCACCACCTCTCCTGGATACTTCTAACCCCACCTTATGTCTACCAAAGCCAGATGGTTCTAAAACTCCTCGGCCTCACCGCCTCATAACCATCATAAATCTATCTAACTTCTCTCTTAATTACTTACTCTAAAATCTTTGCTCTTTTGACTCCTCTCTTGCTAGTCTTGGGCTTTAAACCTGGAACTGAAGGTATTGTAGACATTTTTCTATTATGAGTTTTCTCCAATTTAAAAGGGGATTTATGGGGTTTTGGGGTTTTGGGGTTTTGGGGTTTTGGGGTTTTGGGG